AAACTACCAGATCTATAATTAAATAACGATAAAAATTTAAATGAAAATCAAAATCAAAGTGACTGTTAAAACATCAAAATACTAATTTTTACAATGGCAATTAAATAAAAAGGTTTTGACCAGTAATAGAATATCTTAGAGTACAATGCAATGCAAATTTAGACAGAGAAAAAACCTACAACTGCTTTTTCTACAGCTAATAGGTCTACAGCTTGTAGACCTATTTTCTGCCTATATTTGCATAGGATTGTGCCCTGAATGAGCATTACTCATAGTTATCAATCAGTATATTTATTTATTATTTATTTATTTAAAACATTTCTATGCCGCCCCATTCACAAAGAGCCTCGGGGCGGCTTACAAAACAAACTGTACTCACAATTAACCTTAAAAACCCAGAGACATCTTGGCACAATATAAAACACCATAAATAAATAATCAACCGTTAACAATTAAAATAACTTTTAAATAAAAAGGTCTTGGCCTGGCACCGAAAAGCAAGTAATGACGGTGCCAGGCGGACCTCTCTGGGGAGCGCATTCCATAGGTGGGGTGCCACCGCAGAGAAGGCCCTCTTCCGGGTATTCACCTTCCTAATATCTTTCATGGAGGGTTCCCGGAGGAGGTCCTCTGCTACCAATTTCAGGGGGTGGGCGGGCATATATGGGTGCAAGTGATCCTTTAGATAACCAGGCCCCAAGCTGTTAAGGGCTTTATAGGTGATAACCAACACCTTGAATTGGACCCGTACTTCAATGGGGAGCCAGTGAAGCTGACGGAGGACTGGGGTTATATGAGAACAACGCCCAGCCCCCTTCAGCAACCTGACAGCTCTATTCTGCACCAATTGAAGTATCCGGATCATCTTCAAGGGCAGCTCCACGTAGAGCGCGTTACAGAAATCTAATCGGGAAGTAACCAATGCATGTGTCACTGTCGCCAAGCAATCGTTCTCCAGGTAGGGACGCAGCTGATGGATCAGCCAAAGCTGGAGGAAAGCGCTCCTCGCCACCGCTGTCACCTGGGCTTCTAACGACAGCTCTGGGTCGAGGAGCACTCCCAAGCTGCGACCCCTGTCCCTAAGAGGGAGTGCAACCCCATTCAGGACAAGGTTCAGGTCCCCCACCCCGAAGCCCGATCCACCTATCAACAGGACCTCTGTCTTGTCTGGACTGAGCTTCAGTTTATTGGCCCTCATCCAGCCCATAACCTTGGCCAGGCACCGGTTCAGCACAACCACTGCCTCACCTGGATTAGTTGAAAATGAGAGGTAGAGCTGGGTATCATCAGCGTACTGATGATTCCACAGCCCACACCTCCTAATGACCTCTCCCAGCGGTTTCATGTACATGTTGAATAGCAAGGGGGACAAAATAGAGCCCTGTGGAACTCCATGGCATAGCTGCCATGGCGCAGAGCCATAGTCCCCCAGCACCACTTTCTGGAATCAGCCATTGAGGTAGGAGTGGAACCACTGCAAAGCAGTGCCTCCAACCCCCAGTCCCACTAGCCTATTCAGAAGGATACCATGGTCGATGGTATTGAAAGCCGCTGAGAGGTCCAGGAGAACCAACAGGGACGCACTCCCCTTGTCTCTCTCCCTGCACAGGTCATCATACAGGGCGACCAAGGCAGATTCAGTACCATACCCGGGTCTGAAGCCAGACTGAAATGGGTCCAGATAATCAGTTTCCTCCAAGAGTGCTTGGAGTTGTCCCGGCACCACCCGCTCTAACACCTTGCCCAAGAACGGGAGGTTGGCCACTGGTCTATAATTGATGGCCATCTCTGGATCCAGGGATGCCTTCTTCAGGACTGGTCGGACTACCGCCTCCTTTAAAGGGGCAGGTACCCAGCCGTCCCTTAGAGAGGCATTGACAACCTCCAGGATCCAGGGCCCCCTCCCGTGCTTGGCTTTCTTAAGTAGCCAAGATGGGCAAGGGTCCAGTAAGCAGGTGGTGCGACGTATTTGTCCAAGCACCTTGTCCACATCATCAGGCCACAACAACTGGAACTCATCCATCAAGTTTGGACCAGACGGCAACATTGGCACATATTTAGGAACACCATCACATTTGAGGTTGGTTCAGGGCTACTGCAGACTGGTGAAAGCAGGGTGAAGATTTCTCTAGTAATTGGACAATTCATGTTTAGTTACTGTTGGGAAAATTCAGATAAATCCCAGTAGAAGAGGGTTGCTTATATATGCCTTTGTGTTATAAAATCAAACCTACCCCCCTTTCTTGGAAAGCACCAGCATTCCAAGCCAGGTCACTGTTTAATGCTGCTGTTACTTTAAGAAGATGGAATTCTTAACTGGACTGTGAAGGGGCTGTAGGCTAATGCTCTTAGTGAGGAAATACCTGTGTTCTTATCAGCTGCAGAAAAACTGAAACAATGGTGTCCATTTGTTTCTGAATGCACCCACTTAAGCATCTAGTCCCACAGGGGCAAATGCCTGCACCGTGTAGTTGTCAAACCATATTTCCTGAACGGTTCCTCAATCAGACATGTTTAATTTAAATTTAATTTAATTTAAACATTTCTATCCCGTCCTTTGCAACAGGCCTCAGGACAGCTTACAAAAGGTAAAAATAGTAATATAAAATACAATTAAAAACATTCAATAATAGCACAACATAATTAACAGTTCATAATTAAAGAAAGAATGAAAGAAAGAAAAGAAAATGGGACTGTGTAAGATTATAATTATTATTAAAATTGCTGATATTAATTATTAAAATAATGGATAAATAAAAAGGTCTTGACCTGGTGCCAGAAACGTATTTGCATGTTTAAGCAGGATCCAAACAGCAAAAAGGTCTATTCAATTGACAGGTTATTAAAGCAATCAGTAATGTTTTCCGTATGATTGTTATCAGTATTTCTGATTGGTTTCGAACATTATATCATGCCTAAAGACATCAGGATGCTATTGTACTAAGATTATCTGGAAACTTAACACTCTGTATTGGTGTATGTGACCAGCAGGTTATAAAAGTGTCTGTATATGGGCTGTGATTTTGTAGTTGGCAATGAGAACCACCACCGGGTAGCATGCTGTCATAAGTAACTGCAGGGGTCCTGGGTGATCTTTCCATAAAACTGCTGAGGTTCAAGGAGAAAGGGGTCTTTCCTGACGGAACCTGGTTATCTTTGTTGCAGCTGCCATCAAGGCATTCCCGATTTGACCCACATCTGGGCATCCACAGAATTGTTTCCAGGGGCCAGGGCAGGTAAAGTATATGCAAACATAAGTAGCACAGCTTCTTAAAGTGAAAAATGTTTGTATAGTGGTATCAGGTTATAATTCCCATGCATAGTGCATATCACTACATCATAATAATAAACTTGTGCATTTTCCTTGTTTGTATGCACTTGATTTCCTGCTTATAGTCATATTTAGAAGCCTATATCCAGTAGAGAAAATGTCTTGGAATTTGCCAAAGGCTGCTTCACACAAGAGGCATTATGAACTCTTAAGAAGATATTATTTGGAGAAGGAATATGCAAACAACATCCAGGAATAAAGCAACTCCACATATACAATATGGGTAGTCTGTGTTAATAAAATGTCATATTGGATATTCATACAATTGAAAACATCACATGAATTATCAGGGAAGGAATCCTCATGTTCAAGCATTAATACTTTTTTCACCTTGGAAATATTGGAGAATATTCTGTGGAGGGTTTGGGGAATGCTTTTGGCAGGGGTGGCAAAATGGATATGGTTGATTAGGGTTATGGTTTTGGAGGTATCTGGATTACTCACATTTTTCACATTGTTGTCAGCCATTTGTTTATATCAGGTAAGTTAGTTTAACTCCCATGTAACAGGTTCTGAATTGCAAAAATGTGCTTTTGGAATTGCATTTTCCCCACCACTAGTAGAAGTGGGTATGCTGTGTTTCCCACAACATATTTTTAAAAGCCCACATAGTATCAGAGAACAGGTCTATCATTTCCACTAGGTTGGGCTGTGTTATCAAATTTAATGCCAATTGCAAAGCTGATTTTTGTGGAACCATGTCGCTGCTGTATGCCCAGCGGAAAATCTTCTCTGCTGGTGCTGCATGCAGGGATCCCTTTTCTAATCTAGAAGACAAGACTGTATGGCCAGAGGTTATCCATCCACTTGTTGGCATCGTTAGGAAAGGAACTGAAAATAAAACTTCTAATATTTTAATAATGTTATACAAATTTAGGCAACCACAATTGGACAATGCCAGTCACCAGAGCCCAGAAATGATTATAGCAGCCCTGGAAAAGCTTATTCAGTACAGCAAAAATGCAAGTAAGGGAGAACATGATAGAAATGTATAAAATTATGACAGGTGTCATGGACAATGTGGTAAGAGATAAAGGTTTCTCCCTTTGTCGTAATGCTAGAACCCAGGGTCTTCCTCAATGGTGGAAAAATGAGGATGCTGAAAAGGAAATACTTGTTCAGAGAGCGTGTAGTTAACCTGTGGAATGTGCCTCCAAAAGATAGGCTGATTCAGAACATCCAGGAAGGTAAGTCAATCAGATGCTTCTGAGAAGCCCTCAAGTAGGGCATGAGTATAATGGCTGCTAGCCATGATGTTTATATACCACCACCAGGACCAGAAGCAGCACACCTCTGAATACTATTTCCTCAGGGACAGTAGCAGGACAAGGTTATGGTCCTCATGTCCTACTTGTACACTTCTCAGAGGCATCTGACTGGCCACTGGAAAATAGGATGCTGGAGTAGATGGGCATTTGGCCTGCTCCAGCAGGACACTTCTTATGTATGCTATATAGCAGCAAAGATTAATCTTTACTGATGATACACCCAGCAATGTTATATGTACCAGAGAAAGAACAGTGCATGCAGAGCAAAGTTTATTTTTATCAGTCCTTTAAAAACATACCAGTCAAAATTACTGTTCCCATTAACATGTTTCTTTTGCTGTACAAATGATATACAATGGGTCCTGGAAAAATGCTTTCAAATGTAAAAAGACCATTTCCAACATTTTTGACAGTTTACTTTATTCAGTTCAAGAATTGGATAATGCACTACTACAGCACAGAATAGCTTTAAGAAAAGATCAAAATAACTTTACTGGCTTTGATCATTTAAGTGCATTAATACTTTTATTTCCATGCACTATTTGTTTTTAATTTCTCAAAGGAGTTTATACAAAACACACAATTACCTTGATCTTTCCTGACAACCAACTTCATGACTTGTTTCACACATAATGGTATCTCATGGTTTATTTAATTAATGGGTTTACTTAACTCATGAATCCTGGGTTGTCTACACGTGTGAACCCAGCTACACTAACAAACCATGACCAACCCAGAAAGGGACTTGTGCCTTGTTGCTGGGTTATGAACGTACAGTTGCTTAAACCATGGGTTGTTAGAAGATGTTAACCTATAACTATGGGTTGTTCATCAGTTGTTTCACCAGGCTACAGTTGTGGCAGTCAAGAATAATAAAAAGAAAATGCAGTCATTTTTCATGCCAGTACAACAGAACAACAAAGCATTTGGGCTATGGGGAGAGAATGGGCAAAGAAGGAGGGAAACATATTATGGAGAAAAAACCCATGGTTTGTTTGATCATCTGCCAGACAAATCCTAGGTAGGACAATGAACATTGGATAATCATGGGTTAGTATTATGTGCAAAACAAGTCATAGTGCAAAGGAGTAACTCTTTCCCCTTTCTTCACCCTCATCAACACAGCTTTTCTTGTGGTTGTGCTTCTGTTGAAGGGATATTTTATTTTCTCAGCACTTAAAATAGCAATATAACAACACTAAGTTCTTCTTGGAGACTGCATATTCAATTCCATTATAATGGCTGTGTCAGGGTCAAACTATGCATTACATGGAGTTCTGTTATTGTATAACTTTCCTCCATCTATTTAAATACTATTGACTAGTGAGAAGCAGGTGCTGAAAATATCTAATCAAGAGTAAAGGAAGGCTGGGTGAAGAACTGATGATTAACCCTTTCTCTGACAAAATTGCCTTTCCAAACATCTTTTTCACTCTTGAGGTTGGTGATTTTGTGAGGATGAAGTGCCAGCAGCAAAATGGATTAAACTCTGTCACTCTTCCTCTTTTCCTGACTGCAGTCACCAGTAACTGTTTTTGATAACAACAAGAACAAGAATGTGTAAAATGTAGCTTGGCCCTCAGAGTATGATCTGTGGAATCACACAACACTTTGTGGAATACATCCTTGTTGGCTATCTGGTATGACGTGGATGGTGAGAAAAGCCTCAATATCAGTTGCTCTTGTCTACACTATCTTGTGACCCCCTTTTTAATCCTCACCTGAATTGTATGAAGTTATTCCACAGTGCAAAAACCTCTAATGTGAAATGAAGCTGACAAAGGGCAGAATGCAACGATGTACTCAGGCTCCCACAGGTCCTCTTGCACCCCTACCAATCCCTCCTGCAAGCAGCACCACCATTTGCAAGAATGAAGATTTTGATCTTCCAGGAGCAACTAGAAATGAGCAAAATTGAGATAGGGCAATTTGACAAGGTTCAAATAAGGAAGTTCCCTGGCCAAATGAAATGAGCATATCCACTCATTTTTGGGTTTCTTCTGGAAATGCTAAATCTCTGCGACATGACTGGTGGGTCCCATTTGAGCAATCAGTGAGACCCACCACTCATGCAGCAAAATCCCATCAGATTCTGCCCAAAAAGCCTTAAGGAAACCCCAAGATCTTTTTTTATTCTGTTGAATAATTCCCGTGCAGTGTTTATATATTCTGACTCCATCAAGCGCAGCAAGCAAGCATGTTTGTTAACTAAGTTAATTAACCACATGGAACACATACAAGTCTTGCTGGTCTTTCTTGGTATTGAAAACCGTTACTGTAATATCTCTTCCTATATTTATTCCATTTTATATTATGGTGCATTTCTTGTACAGACAACTATATAGCAGCAGACTTATTGCATTGGTAATGATTGTTACACTTGGACAGTATCCAATTGTGCTCATGCACTGGCAGAATATGCTGCCAGTCAAATGGGAACATACTGGCCCATGGAGCAATCCCAAATGAGAAGAAACACTTGTTTACGGAAGGGTGCAAATCATCAGAACTTGCAGGAGGGGGTTCTGCTGAATGTTCTTGTTTTGGAAAAGATAATTTCTGCTTATTTCCAGGGTTCCTTTTAAGGACCACTAAGGACCACAAGTGTTCAGCACTACAAACACAATGGAACCAGCAGGGTCAGCAGCTATATTCAATTCGAGCTAGTGTTTCTGCATTTAAAAAGGTAATCTGTCCTAGATTTCAAAACTCTTTCTCCCTTAGTTGATTTTTAAGAAATAACTGGTTTTGGTCAAGTGGAATTTCTGTTCTGGGTTGCTACTTGAAAACACAGTCTCACAGGTTTGATGTAGCACAATGTGACTCAGGAGTAGGGCTCTAGTTCCCACTCAGCCATGAAGCCCACTGGGTGACTTGGGGCCCGTCACTCAGCCTGGCCTATCTCACAAGATTGCTGTCGTGAGGATAAAATGGAGAGGAACAGAACGTTAAGCCACCTTGGGTTCCTTGCAAGACTAAGTCACAATTTAAATACTTGCAATGTAATACTAGTAATATCTAGATGTTATAGAGATTTCAATGCATGAGAAAATAATACAAAGCTACACTGAAAGCTGATTTCAATGTAAATCTCTTAACTCATGTAATGACAAAACCACAACTGTACCATTTAAAAGTGACAAGTCAGGCTGTAAACATTATTATACTTGCTTGGAAGTAAGTCCCAAAGAAATCAATTAGTCTGAGCAGAAATACATAGGACCATTGTCTAATAGAGCAAAACTTTGTCATCCTCCACAGTTAAAGTAAGAAGATTTAAGAAGTATAAAAAACAACCAGGATAATTGGAATTGTTTAAAATAAATATTTGAAATGGCTTATAATGTTTCAATATGTGCTTCACTGTGGCCTGGTCTTTGTAAGAGGACCCAAGTGTTCATGGATACTTACCAAATCACTCCAATAAAACTGGAGGACCTTCAAAGTTGTCAATCTAGTTTCAGCAAGATATGCTCTATCTCCATCAGCAAGACAATGACTCCACTTTCAATCTTTGTTACTACCAGTCCATAAGAGAGGTAAAGTCCAATGCATGTCTCTTCCAATATGATGCCTTAGTTTATGGAAATGTAGGGATCCAGCTGCAATTAATCACGGGTTGGTTCAGAAGTTTACAACATCCTGTCAAGATCCTTGAGTTGTTGTTTGCTTTCAGGAAGATCTCTGTGGAACTATTTGCACTGGTGGAAAAGAGGGAAAGGATTTTAAGACTATAATCTAATTTAGAAGACATTAGTTTTGCTTCACATCTATGATCTTCCAAAGTTATGCTACACTGGCTTTAGAAAAAAACCACTGGCTTTAAAAAAAATCTTTTTGTAAACTGTTTTAAGGGTCAGGGTTCTCCTACCCCTTGCAAGCTATCTATTCCCACAAACCATAAGAAGGACATTTGGTATGTTTCCAAAGTTTTTTAAACTTTACAGTATCTATTTATAATTAGAAATCTGCAACCAAATATATAGCAGGTCAGTTAAAATAAATATTAGTGCCTGCCTCTTAGACTGTGTACTCATGTATATAAGTGGTGAAAGCCCAGAGTGGATTTGCCTTCATTCCCTTTTGGACAGACATGCAACCTGGCACAGAGAATCAGACTCAAGACTAGCATGTTCTTTGTTTCCAGCAGAAGCTGGCTTGGTAAAGTGCTGATTGACTGGCTTTTGTGAGTGAAAAAGCCACTTCCTGATTGGAGCAGTGTTGAAAGACACTTTCACAGTGTTTAACTGGATGAATATGCTAGGTGCTAGATGTTTGGGGGATGGGGGAAATTGCAAAGCTGAGAGTGACTGTGGTGTAGTGGTTAAGAGCATGGGGCTGGGACTCAGACGATCTGGGTTCTAGTCCCCGCTCAGCCATGGAGCCAAGTGGGTGACTTTGGGCCAGTCACAGACTCTCGGCCCAACCTACCTCACAGGGTTGTTGTTGTGGGGATAAGATGGAGGAGGAGAGATGATGTAAGCTGCCTTGAGCCCTGTGCAGGAAAAAGGCTGGATATACATCGCAATATAAATAAATAAATAAAAATATAAATCTAATAAAGAAAGAAAAGAAAGCAAAGGCTGCAGTCAAGAAGGAAAACTGCACCAGCTACACTTTCAGGGCTTTTTCTCTATTCAGTTTCTGTTTGCTTAGCACAAAATGCCCATCTTATTAACAGCTCTTGGTCTTTTTATCCCAAGGTCCTGGTGTGTGTGGGTTTTAAACAGAATATTTATTTATACGTTATATAGTAGCTTTAGGATGATATCCTCACAGAAAAAGCTTCCAGCAATAGACAAAATGGCTGGAAGAGGACAAACACACACCTTTGGTTTCCTCTTTCTTCTGTGAATGCTTGGGCTGTAGCAATAGCATCCATTTGCCCCAACAGCCCTTTCAAGGACAACAGAGGAGCCCTGCCAGCATGGCACTTGCAGCCAGCTTTGGCCACCTGAGGGTTGGGATCGGGTGAGGGGAAGGGGGTAGCACTTTCTCATTCTGTTCCTGCTGCTGGACCCACATTAAGTCACGTTCCCCAGGCAAATATTTGTGAGGAAAAGTAGAGCACACCAGAGGCGACCCGTTTTAAACTCTTCTACTAATCTATACAGTGGAATCTGGATTTTGCTGGTTGTGCAAGGAACATGGAGGCAAATGAGCAATCTTGTTTCTTGTAAAATGGCCTTTACCAAATCCCCAGTAAAGATCTAATGGTAGGGAGCATGGTTGGTATCCTGAATCACCACTTGTGCTCATAATGGAAACATGCTTTGCTATTAGAACTCCATGTGCTTTGCACTGGGATTCTGGTTTATCATGGCAAAGTGATTGTTTGAGCATGGCTATCATCATTGCCATCATAATTAAACAATCCAGTGCTTATCCCATGGGTGGCACCCCCTTAGGTTTGCTTTGGGTTAGGCATAATGGATTGATAGATATTATGGGGTAATATTTCATTGGCTAAGCAGCCAGCATGAACCTAGCATTCAGCCTTCCCCAACCTTCCCCATGTGTTTGATTACATCCTCCATCATGTTTTATATAATTTTTTATTTATTTATGTAAGCCGTCCTGAGGCCTTCGTGACAGGACGGCATATAAATATTCTAAATAAATAAATCCATAGCCAGCATTGGCCATGCTGGCAGCAGATGCCGAAATCTGTATCTAACACATTTGGAAGGCACCAGATTGGAAAAGGCTGACTTAGGTCAACAGGGATGTTTTTGCATGTGCAGGAGCTTTGTTGGGCATTAGAATTCCTGCTTTAAATGGGACTACTTTGTGAAGAATTAGGGTGTGTGGCTTAAAAAGGCTATAAAAGTGTATTGCAGGGGTGCATGGATGGAGTTGTTTGGATAAATACATAAAGGCATTTCTCAACAGCTCTGATCCTGACTGCAGATCTGTGACAAGTGGAGAGATTAAGCAGCAAGGGACTGAAACATATTTCAAAGGGATGGATCATGAAGGCATCACGAAGGGATAACATGTGACTTCAGTAATGAGGACCTGTGCAACCACAAGGGGAGAAAAGGGGAGTTCTAATTATTTTTGGTGTGTGTGTGTGTTTGTGAGTAAATAGAAGAAGAGAGATGGATCAAGACAAACCTCAGTTACTAGAGTGAATAGTAAAAACGTTTCATTCACAACTTGCGTGAGTTCCTGCCATAATAATCTCTGTTCTATATTTTCATAAAAGTAGTGCACTACCATTGTCACAGCGTCACATAAGACTGCCTTTTTCCATTCAGTGACTACATGAGGTAGCCAGGGAAGATGGGAGTTGTAGCCCACTGCATTGAGAGGACACCAGACCGGGGAAGGTTGATATATAGGTTTCCAGTACTCAATCTTTAACTTCAGATGTGATTTCTGTGAATGAGAGCCTCCCCTTGTTTAATTCATTACCTGTTAAAGAGGTCTGAGCAGCATGCAAATATTTCTGTGTTATTTGAAGTGAGACTGGAGTTGTTGATGTTTTCTAGTAAAGCAGTGCATGAATAATCTGCAACAGATAATATTCCTGAAAATAAAGCAGAAAAGTCACTTGTAGAGTAGGTCTTGCTTATGGTGCCGATGTCTTGCATGATATCTTGTAACAGTCTTTCATAGCATCACTTGATTTATTTGAAATGCATTTGACAAGGAGTGAAACACTATGAATTGTAGGTGGGGGTGTCACTGCCTTCCTCAGGTCTCTGGGTCCCATGGGCAAGGCCCGCTCAGCAAGTCCATCTTCCTATTGCTGTGATAACCAGCTGCTATCCTTTCATTTCTTCTTTTTCATCCTTGCTACCACTTGCTTGCTTGACAAGCAGGCAGCCAGTGGACAAGGAGGCAATGGAATTTGCCACTCTGGTCCGGGTCAGAGTAAGAAGCAGGTGAACAAGCAGGCTGCAATGGTGAAGAAGCTGAGCAACTCCAAGCAGCCCTTGCCAGTTAAACTTTGCTGGGGAATGGGGCCTTGGCAGACAATTCCTGCCCTGTGGACAGGATGCTTTTGAGAAATCATTCTAGGGAGAATGCATTAACACCAACCAGGTTCACATGATCACTGCCATAGAGTTATGGCACAGACTGGCTGCACTTTGAATGTTGAGTTACAACAGGAAGTTGCCATAGCTTATTGTGTTGGATGAATCCAGCTAATCAATCCTCACTTAACCTAAAATAGCTCATGGGTTATATATAGGATGCTTAACCCTTGCATAAGCCACTCTTCATGATGCAGAGATATGGTTTATGTGATCACCACAGTCCACCATGGATAATTTAAGTCATGATGGACCCTTGGGTGCCAGGCTGCATTGACTGCAGAAGTTGATTGAAGATTAAACAGTCCACAAAGATCCCATGGCCTCTTGTAGGGTTGTGAGAGAATGTTTTAACCCTCAAACAACTCCTGCCATCCAGGTTCAGATGACACCACAAACCTGCCAGAGGTTGAATATTCTAAACGACCGTCTGCACATAGTGCAATCCGTGGGTTATGATGGGTTGCAGAGGTTATGTGAACTGCTCCATTTTGTCCTCACAGAGGGCATATGATTCCTGGTCCTCACAGAGGGTATATGATTCCTGGCCATTCCCCCTTTCTTCCTGTGACAGAGGCCATCCCATACTAAAGGTCCTCTCAAGAATCAAGAGAGAATTAAATGGCAGCGAGAGGGGAGAAGAGGAAAGACTGGGAAAGCCACTCTTCTGCCATCCACTTTTTTTGGTGTTTTTCTAGATTCAGACCATAAATTTTGGAACAGTAAACTGACTTGTAAGCTTTCTGGAAAGCGTAGAGGACTTCAGGAAGAGGCACATTTCACCAAACTTTCTCTACCACTGCTTATCTGGATCTAAGCCATTAGGATTGTTTTTACCCTGAGTAATTTTCATGGTTAATTTTTATTCATTCCATTTCTATACTGCCAAATAATTGAAGTTTTCTGAGCAGTTCATAACAGTTCATAAAAACACATACACATAAAACACACACACACAAATTACAATAACATACAATTGAAACAACATTCCTGTCAGTATATAAAATGTAAACCAGAATTTAAAACAATTTAAGTAGCTAAAATAGCTTTAAACTCATCCCCCATATGCCATTAAATGCCTCAGAGAAAATGGCAGTCTTAACTTGGCACCAAAAAGATAGAGTTGCCACAAGGTAGAGAGATCATTCCACAATTGCAGGAGATCATCTCCACAATGTGGAGATCATTCCACAATTGCAGGGCTGCCCGTGAGAGGCCTTCCTTGGAGGTGGCACTTGCAGGAGGGCATTAGATGTTATCATGATGTCAGAGTAGATTCAGGTCTTATGATTCCAAGCCATGTAAGTTAAGCAATGATTTCTTATTTACTCATAGTCAGAACCAGATTGTGTCACCATTACGGCACAATCTAGTCAAAGTTAAGAGCTTCTAACAATTCCACTGATTTTAATAGGAGCTGTTACTATCCATACCTGTGACCTAAAAGAGCATAACCTTGGCTGCATCTCAGCCTTCATTTGTATAAAACTTCCTTCTTCTCTGTTTTGCGACTATAAGGTAGAAGAAAATCACTGAAAATATGGTTAATCCTTTCACTTATTCTTTTTAAAAAGATATATTGCCCTCACTGGATTCTTGTAGCTAGTATAGTTACTATTAATAAGAGATAAAGCAAGAAATGTTTTCCCCCTTTTGTTTTAGAAAAGTGAATATTTCATGATCACATGCTTTGAAATGATATTTAACACACTCCAAAAATGTTAGGAAATGGCATGCACAGCCAAAGAACACAGACTGAGAAACCCAAATACTGCCACCCTGTAGCATAAAATACCTGCAATGCAAGCTGTCATGAAGCAGGCCACCGTGCCAGCAATCATGGCTCTGAAGGCCCCAGATGCAATATCTCTCTTCCTGGCAGGAGCCATGGATGCTAGGGAAAACGGGAGGGAAACAATTTCCATCAGGAAGTTCCATACAACCATTGTGTGATACACACACACACACACACAGGCACTTTGGGAGAAGCTGCAACCCAAACTCAGGTGCTCTCTGCACAAGACAGATCTGGGAAGTTAGTAAGGGATGCATGAGAAATTTCTTTCATTTTCTTTTAGCCCAGCATTTACCCAGTCTACCTCTCCCAAACTTGACTTGAACACACTCTGTAGGAAAAGTCATCATATTTTGCCCAGACCAAGAAAACTGAGTTCAGAAACGCATTTATTTGAAAAGTGTGCGTGAAAAAGTATGCACTTCTTTTTTGAAAAAGCACGCAAATATGCTTTACTCAACGGGGAAAAGTGCATGGAAAAATGTATCTGCAGGGATCATTCCCCACAATTTTGAAGTGCCTCAGTGTTGGCCCCACCCCTTGCCCACATTGAGACAGATGCAACTGTGTGTGAGCAATGGGCTCTTACTACGCTTAGGGAGCAAACTGGAACCTTCCCGTGGTCAGTTGTAGGATAACTTTGCCTTCATGCACTGACAACAGTTTCAAGGGCCAGATGTATGCTTGTATTGTCATCAGGAGTCTACAAATTTTGGCTGACTATTGCAGCTAATCAAAACCAATGATTTCCAGTATCCTGCCCTTCCTCAAGGAAGCAGGAGGTGGGCTTGTCCCTGACATCATACTGAGCTACACAGATTCTTGGAAGTTGGGGCTCCTGCCCACCTTTCCATCAGCTCTATGCAGAGAAATAGAGCATTGCTCATCATGTATCACCACAGAATGGGCTTTGTGTGTGAAAGTGGGGTGTTATTTCTCCTCAGTCCAATGCTCTATACAAGAAAAGTACATGTTCTTACTCAGTGCTCCAATTATCAATCCCAAAGAACCGAAGTTTGCAAATCCACAGAGTGCATAAGTGGCAATGGTTTCTGATCGGATCTAAAATCCAAGCAAATGAAAACATCTTATTCTGTTACATTTAAAATGGCATGATCTGGTAAAATAGGATGTAAGAGCTTCTTGCTAACATGGATTAAAGGTACAGTTAGGGTATGCTTTATTTCAGGGTGTGGAACCTCCAGCCATGGGGCTCCCCTGCAGGTTTTTTCAATCACAAATGGGAGGTAAGAGTGGAAAGTCAGGCCAGGGTACTTACCTGTTGCAGGGAGAGCAGCTGCTCTCCGTGGCAAGGGCCAGGTCCTGCCCCAAGGTTTCATTTTGCCCACTTCTTCCCATGGTGAAGAAAAGAGATGGAGTGAAGCTGGCTGAGTCCCCTATCTCCTCTGCTGGAGAATGAAAGCGGGGCCAGTTGCTTCTTTCCCCCATTGAGGGAAAGAGACAGGGCAGGTAATCACTGGGAAGAACAGACTTTGTCCCATCGCTCCGCCATTGGAGGAGTGACAGGGATTAGGTTAGCTCAGCACCATGGTAGGTTGGACTTCTTTAGCTGAAACAGCTCACATGCAGCAAAGTCCAGGGAGCAAATGTCTGATAGGCATGGCCATAGCCATGGGTATAGTCAGGCCACCTGATGTCATAAGGCCTGCAGAGGGCTGGGGGGGGGGGGAGTAATCTAACCCCCCCTCCTCACCTGTTTCTGCATTCCTGCTTTATATACATATGGAGAGGAAACAGAAATGACAACCATGGAATCAAATTTCATCTCTGAATGTCACTTCTTTGCCATGATGGTTGCTTTATGGGGGATAGGATTGTCAGTGTATATCTAATGTCATGTTTAACAGGTTTAACTAAGATACTTGTAAGATCTGAGGGTTAAAGGTCATTCCAGGTATAATGTAAGTTTTCCACATGAAGCAACTGCATGAAGCCCACTTTTAGATTACCATGTCTGATCAGGGACACATGTTTTCAATCTGCACATGAATTTCACAGTATTTCCTACATGGGAGTGTACACAATTGTCATATCTGAAATGGTCTGGAAAGAGATTTGGATAAACTCTTAAGAGATCAAAATGGTTTGAAAGGGTTCTTTCTTCCTCCGGAGTACCCATAGTGACTTTGTTCTACTTCTACCTGTGACAGTTTTTAAAAATATACCCTGCTTAGGCTATTTCCCAGAAGCAAAGGTGAGATGAGGGTGCACACCACAATGCATATGCTGCCTTTTTGTGAATTTCCTTCAATATTCTGACAAAAAAAGTTTAAAAAGCTTTCAGCCTTAGAAGCACAGGTCTAATTTTGTAGTTACACTGCACAACCAATATAACTTTAGCTAAACAGCTAAACTATTTGGCCATTATATCAAATGTTCAAAAAAGCCACACACAAAAAACACTCAGTGACATGATTTTCTCTGGGTCAAAATTTTATGCCGTTTTCTTCTCTTTGGCCTCCACAATGCCCGGAGCAAATGCTGCATTCTTCTGAGTGAATTCATCTGGTATTGAAAGAGACTGTTTTAGTTCAAGGCAAGAGATGCCACTATGAGCAGAACTTCAATTTTCTTGCCTGTTGTTCTCTGTTTGCAATGAAATCATCTTAATGCTTCAGCTGATTAGATGCTCATTTGTGCCCCCTCATGTTTTAAAGAAGCAATTTGTAGATATGTCTCATTGCTCCATGCATACAAAGATGAAAGGGTTTCAAGGACTCATCTGGCTTACTTTTTCCTGGAATTGTTTGAAAGCCAGGAAGCCTTATTACTCCAGGTTGTGTGGGTGGACACACAGCTCACTATCTTCTGTTTGCTGGATCTATTTGTACTTCTATATTCACTGGAGTGCTCCAAGGAAAGTATTATATTAACATTGACTATTCCAACATCTTTTGTTACCATATCATCATCTTTTTCTGGAAATTAGTTCTGGAATCAGCAAACAGGACAATATTTTATAGTACCTGACATTAGAGTTAAGAAGCACCAGAAGACATGAGCTCAGGTATATGAATGCAACAATGGGAAATAGAAAAAAAATCCTGTTGGTCTGACCTTTAATGCTAACTTATGCAAGTTTTTCATGCACTAAGAAGGATAAACCTTACTGTTAAACTGTCCCTAGACTACGGTAAGGGATGGTCTAAAAATGGTTTAAAGACAGACAGACAGACAGACAGACAGACAGACAGACAGAAGATATTCAGGTTGCTGATTTTGCCTCCTTGTAATGAAGTTGTCCAAGCATTTTATTACAATGGCAGAGCACTGTCTCAACTTCACCTTGTTTAAGCAATGGGAAGATTCATTTATTATGATAAATCTGGGTTTCAGAGAAAACTTTATTTTTTCCTGAGCAGTGTGCTTGTGCGTATTGCCTGATTGTTCAGCCAGTTCAACATCCACTTGGCCATGGTTTGTGTATTATGATGTGCAAACTAGGAACTTTGGCTTGACTCTCATCTGACAAGCCAGAAAAATAACCACAAGCTATGGGTAATTTATTTGACTTTCAGGGAGAGTATCAAGCCAGTGTTTCCGGTTCATACATTATGCTAGAAGAACCATGCACAGAAGGTCTACAGGTTGTTTACTGTCCCCAGTACAAGATAGGCCAGAGCTCCACCAGAATTCTGGCATATCATGAGTATGAACTGGGCCAGTGGGATGAAAGCAATTCAATGAAAGCAATATGGCAGCTTAATACAACCCATTTTCTGCTATTGCTGAATCCCCCACAAGGGATTCAGTCTGAGATGGTTCAGTCTGTAATAAACTATTGTGTACTTTTTAGTCTGGAAATTTTCAGGAATCTTATGGTGAGATATTCCCTAGGAAGAAAAGGTTATTAGCAGCAGAGCAACAGAAAATGCTCTGCAGATATCTTGAGATCTTCAGAAGAGTCAGGGGTTGTATGTCAATTCACTCTGAAGTGATTTCTTAAGCTTACTCCTTATTCCTGTCCCTACTTCCAGAAATGGTGGACTATTTTCCTGATCACAAGTGCTCCCCATAGCTGCTTTTTCACTTGCAAAGAAAAAGGTGTCAGATCCACACATATTTTCCTGCAGGAAGAAAAGCAGCTTTGAAGGGGAGTGATTCTGAGTGGAAGAATGACCCACGGAAAAATGAGTAAGCATCCCTTTTCTTTCTACCACTTCTCCATACAAATTCAAAGCTTTCCTCCCCATGGGCTGCATTAAAGTAGAAACAAAAGCTGTTGGAAGACCTATTTTCTCCTTCTCCTTAACTTAGGAAAGTTCTCTAATTTGGGAAACCACACTTGAAGCAATGCTTTGTTTATTTTTTAATTATAAATTTAATCTGCCCTTGTATTTCTGGGGAGAACTGTAAGCAGCTAAAAGATATAATACCATAATTTTGTTAAAAATATAAAATGGAATACAAATATTTTTAAAAAATACAATATGCTGAACAAAATATGTAATATCAAGGGAACTTGCCCAACCCAGAGCCCTCGAAAAATGCTCCACTACAGGTCCTATCATCCTCAGTGATTGACCCCAGTAGATGGCCATTCTGTCTATGAAATATGAGTATTGTAGGCAAATAGATCTGGAGGGCACCAGGATGGAGAAGGCTGTATTATGGTTTGGGTCCCTTACATACACAATTGGGCCCCCTGCTCCCACCCTCAGAAGGTGGCACCTGCCGAAAAGACTACTGTGAAGTCATTGACCTAGACGTGAAAGCAGCTCTGCCTTCTTCAACTTCCTTTCAGATGAGTCTAGGAACTAAGCTATAAGACAATTGCCTTTCAACTCATGCTTTGCTAAAATGCTTTCTGCAGATCGAAACAGCATGGGCTACATGCAACAGGACTTTCTTCTCCCCTGCAGCCCTCCAAATCTAGTCCTAACCTGCCACAACAGAATATGGGGGCATATATGGAGCAGGTTCCAGGTGGGAGGAGAATCTGTCCCACCAACAGTGTATATGAATACCATTCGATATAACACATGATATTTACTTTTGATTTCTCCCCTTCCTAACTACCCTGCTACCTGTTGCTAAATAGGGGATTATGCAGCATAGATCAGATTGAGTGTTGTGAGGATTAGATGGATATTAGAGAAATATTCACTTAAATAACTGAGCTGCCACTGCTATAATAAGACATACAAATGGTTTCTAATACACAAGTCAGTTTTATATGGTGTACATCTCCTGGAATCTATGAAACAAAGAATTGCATAAGGATACTCACACTCAAGAACTGTTTTGCACCATTGATGTAAATTTCCCCTCCTGCCTTTCTCTTTTTGATCAGTTCTGAAAGGTGTTCATAAGCCACAAATTCATTGAAGAAAGTCTTGTAACCTAGAAGCCTGCCAACAATAAAACTGTCTTCCCAGTCTACCCCCATCATGAAAGAAAATGGCATGAAGGTGTAGGCACAAATGACCTACAGGAAAGGAAAAAGAGAAGGTATGTAAGATGTAATTATAGTTGATAACATTTTGGCATCTCCCTGGACAATGTTGGGGAGCTGCAAACAGAAGCTGTATTATTTCATTTCAATTATTACCCTTCTTTATTGCCCAGTAGCCAATGTTTTCTGATTTACAGCGATTAAAACCCTTAAAATACAATATAAGAGCATAATATAAAATCAGAAGTACAAAAATAAAATAAATTTAAACTATCAATAATAAAACCCAGGACTCATTAGAAACCTCATCACATGCTGTCATGATATGTCTAGGGACCTATCCTGTACCAACTGACCCTTTGCAGACAAACATCCAAGCAAGGGCCATATCCAGCAATCCTCTAGGTTAAATGGTCTTCACTAGGTTTTCAGTCAGGAAATTAGGACATCAAAAAGAATTCCTGTCTTCCTGTGCAAACATGACTTCCAGGTCATCCTATGGAGTTTTACCAAGTGGAAAGTGAAGTTGCCAACACTGCAACTCTGAGTTGCTTTTGCCTTGCGAGGGAAAACTTGTTTACCAAGATTGTCTATGGAAATTTCTCTTAACAGCAAGTAATAGCTTCAGGAGAATGTGTTGTGTGTGTGTGTGGGGGGGGAGGCACTCCCATTAACAAAATCAAACAAGGAGAAAGGGTTAAAGTAATGCCATTCCCCAGCACAAATGTTTTAGGACTCCCG